ATCCTTGCCAGCATCTGTTGTTGGTAGATTACCCTGATTCCTAGTGATCTTGAACATTTTGTCATGTGCCTGTTGGCCATTTGGATTTCCAGTTTTGACAAATGTCTATTGAGGTCCTTGGCCCATCTCTTAAGTGGATTGTTTGTTTTGTTGTTGTGGAGTTTCTTGATCTCTTTGTAGATTCTGGTTATTAATCCTTTTATCTGTTGCATAGTTTGCAAATATTTTTTCCCATTCTGTCAGTTGCCTCTTCACTCACCTGACAGTTTCTTTTGCAGTACAGAAACTTCTCAATTTGATGCAATCCCAATAGTTGATTTTGGCTTTGACTGCGCATCTAGGGTCTTTTCCAGGAAGTCTTTGCCAGGGCCAATATCTTGAAGGGTTTCTCCAATGTTCTCTAATAATTTGATGGTGTTGGGTCATAGATTTAGGTCTTTAATCCATGTTGAGTGGATTTTTGTGTAAGGTGTAAGGTAGGGGACTTGCTTCATGCTTCTGCATGTGGAAATCCAGTTTTCCCAGCACCATTAATTGAATAGACTGTCCTTGCTCCAGGAATTGGTTTTAGATCCTTGATCAAATATAAGTTGGCTGTAGATGTTTGGGTTGATTTCTGGTGTTTCAATTCTGTTCCATTGGTCTATCCATGTGTTTCTGTACCAGTACCATGCTGTTTTGATTACAACTGCCCTGTAGTATGTCCTGAAATCTGGTATTGTGATGTCTCCAGCTTTGTTTTTGTTGTACAAGATTGCTTTAGCTATTCGAGGTCTCCTGTGTCTCCATATGAATTTCAGCATCATTTTTTCTAGATCTGAGAAGAAGGTCTTTGTTATCTTGATTGGGATTGCATTGAATGTATAAATTGCTTTTGGGAGAATGGACATTTTGATGATGTTGATTCTTCCAATCCATGAGCCATGGAAGATTTTTCCATTGTTTGGTATCCTCTTCTATTTCTTTCTTTAAGGTTTTGTAATTCTCATCGTAGAGATCTTTAACGTCCTTGGTTAAGTTTATTCCAAGGTATTTGATTGTTTTTGTAGCTATTGTGAATGGGATTGATCTTAGCAGTTCTTTCTCAGCCGTGGCATTGCCTGTGTATACAAAGGCTGTTGATTTTTGTGCATTGATTTTATATCCTGCTACTTTGCCAAACTCTTCTATGAGTTCCAATAGTCTCTTAGTAGAGTTCTTTGGATCCTCTAAATAAAGAATCATATCATCTGCAAAGAGGGATAGTTTGATCTCTTCCTTCCCAATTTGTATTCCTTTAATTTCTTTTTCTTGCCTGATGGCTCTGGCTAGAACTTCCAGAACTATATTGAATAGCAGTGATGAGAGTGGGCATCCCTGTCTGGTATCAGAATCTGATATAACTGCAGGTTCTGTACAATTATCTCAATAAGAAATAAATATACAGAATACACACACATACATAAGTCCTATCTTTATAAAGGTAAGTATCAAAACTCCAGTGGTTAGGATATAATAAAACTGATTATTTTCTTATGCATGTGACAATGTTCATATTCTATAACCAGTGACCCCTATGCCAGTGACTCTTGGAGAAACTCATCATATTAGTATTAACCTGCATGTAGGTAACACCTACAGCTACCCAGACTGCAACACACTCTGGAACAGAACTCCCCACATTCCCACCCAAACCTACCCTGATGTGTTCTGTCCCATCCTGGGTAAGGCCAAACCTTGAGAAGAGAAGCCAACCGGCCCCACGACCTTACTGATGTTGCCCCTGCCTCCTATCCTACCACTGGGTTCTGCCCTGTTCCTGCACTGGGCCTTTGGCTAACTCTTTGGGCACTCCAGAAGGCTCTGATTCCAGATACACACAACAGCTCCCTTCCACACCTGCTTCAAGCCTTGCCTTACTGTTGCCCTCTCCTTGAGGCCTATCCTAACCAGCCTATTAAAAAAAAGAAGATTTATTTATTTGAAAGTCACAATTAAGAGAGAGGGACAGACACAGACAGAGAGATCTTCCATCTATTGGTTCATTCCCCAAATGGCTGCAATGGCTTGGGCTGGGCCAGGCAGAAGACAGCTAAAACTCTTAACTGGGTTTCCCATATGGATGGCAGGGACCCAAGCACTTGAACCATTTTTTCACTTGTTTTCCCAGGTGCATTATCAGGGAGCTGGATCCGGAGCAGCTAGGACTCTAATGGGTGCTCATATGGGGTGCCAGCATCGCAGGAGGTGGCTTAACCTGATGTACACCACGAAATAGGTGCCCATCACCTTATTCTAATTTTCCAACCTGACACAACCCCCCTCCATCCTGATCTCATTTTTTCTTAACTGTTTCTTACATATTATTTAATTACCTTTACTGCATGTCTATCTTGTCCACTAGAATGTAAACGCCCAGAGCCTAGCAGTGTTTTTGTGCTTTATTCACTGATACATTCCCAGTACCTAGAGCTGTGGCTTGATACGGAATAGGAACTCAGAAAACACTTGATGAGTGGCTGGAGGAAGCCTGCAAAGGCGTCACTGGTGTCCCGATCTTTAGAAGGCAGTCCCTCAAGCTGCTATGGTGGGGCCTGAGCTCTCACCCCAGGTGGAGAGCACACCCCTGGCTGGCTCACAGAGCCATCTGCTGCTGTTATCTCTACCACTTTCAACCACAAAAACTTCTTCAGTCTTCTATAGTGAGCACCACACAATGACATCTCGTTAAGTGTCAAATGACTGTGAGACTCAAAACAGCACAGGAAGGAAGTTGTAGCAACCACACAACCGTTTTTTGTTTTTGTTTTTGTTTTTGTTTTGTTTTGTTTTTTGGTTTGGGTTTTTTGGGGTTTTTTTGTTTTGTTTTGCCTCCAACTAAAGTAGAAGAAAATGACAGGTGCCTGCCAATTCACAATCAAGGAAGTTTTGGTTACACTCAATGTCTTTCCTTCACTCACTCCCACACCCCAGCTGGGCCAACACAGACATTGCCTAAAGATTATCTACAAAATGGGATTTCTATAAATCTACAGATTTATTTATTGGAAAGATAGAGTTACAGAGACAAGGATGGACAGAGATAATCTCCCATCTGCTAGTTCATTCCCCAAATGGCTGCAACAGTTGGGTTGGGCCAGGCTGAAGCCAGGAGCCTGGAACTGCATCCAGGTCTCCCACATAGGTGGCAGGGACCCAGGTACTCAAGCCATCCTCTGATGCTTTCCCAGGCACACTAGCAGGCAGCTGAGTTGGAAGTGAATCATCCAGGCCCTGAACCAGCGCTCCACTATGGGATGCTGGTGTCACAGCAGCAGCTTCACCTGCCGCACCACAATGCCAGCCCCTGGATTTCTCGAAGTCTAATCTCTCCTGTCTCTCCTATGTACTTCCATTACAGAGTTAAGAGCTATATTCCCACAGGTGGCAAAAACCACCACAATTTAAAAACAACAGAGGAATGATATTATTTGAGTGAAAAATGCAAAGCAATTTTAGTTATTCCAGTGAGGTGTAGAACGCACGGCCTGTGTGGGAGGCAATGGTGCACTGAAAATGCTGGATTTGCTATGGTGATGAGGGGATGACTGAGGCAAATTCTTAAAAATCCAGACATTTTTATAATGTGGTATGCACAATCAATGTGTATTTTTTTAATTTATTTATTTGAGAGGCAGAAAGAAGGAGAAAAAGAGACTATGAGCTCCCAAGTGCTGGTTGACTTTCCAAATGCTTGCAATGAAGCCAGTGCTGGGAACTCAATCCAAGTCTCCCAAATGGGTGGCAGGAATCCAACTGCTTCAGCCATCACGCCTGCCTCTTAGGGTGTGCCTTAGCAGGAAGCTGGAATCGGGAGCTGGAGCTGGGCACTGAACTCGGGCACTCTGCTGTGGGACACAGGCATCTTAACTGCTAGGCCAAACACCTGCCCCTAAAACGTATATTGTTAAAAAGCACCAAGTCACTCAGTTATTTATTTCCCAAAGAGTCTCAGAGATCACAGACAAATATTTTAACAATGTTTTTTTCCTTTCACATTTTCTAAACTCCCTAAAACATACATAAATTATTTATTTACCTACGTTTTTAAAAAATAAATTTTGGGGGGCAGTGCTGCTCCACTTCCAGTCCAGTTCCCTGCTGATGGCCTGGGAAAAGCAGTGACAAATGGCCTACATGTTTGGGCCCCTGCCACCCACGTGGGAGACTCAGGTGAAGCTCCTGCTCGCTCACTCTCCAAATGGCCACAATGTCCAGAGATGAGCCTATTGGAAGCCAGCAGCCAGGAGCTTCTTCCAAGTCTCCTATGTGGGTGCAGGGGCCCAAGGACTTTGGCCATCCTTTGCTGCTTTCCCAGGCTCATTAGCGGAGCTTGACGTGGAGCAGTCGGGACTTGAACGGGCTCCTGTAGGTGATGTCGGTGCCGCAGGCTGGGGAGCACCTGGACCCACTCTGTAAGATTTTGATTCAGGAAAGGAAGAAGACTAGCAACTGATCCTTGAATTTTGGGGTGGGGAGCAAGGAGAGGAGGGATGTAAATAAAAGCGAATACCCTCTGATTTTCAGTCTGTCTCCACGGGCCAGACAGAAGCCCTTGGAGAGGGCTAGCTGGGTCTCAGGAATGCTCCGGACTGGACTCCATTTCCCAGAGTCCCAAGGTACCCTGCCTTACTGGGAGCGCCCAAGGCCTGAGCCTATGGGTGTGGGAGAATCTGCGCATGCGCACGGGGCTCTGAGCGGGGTGGGGGCAGAGGACGCTCATTCAGTGATCGGAGTTCACCTTCAGAGGTCACGCTACTCCTCCTCCGTGCTCTGCACGTGCCATCTCGGCAGTTTGCCAGCACACACCGCCGCCTGCCACCCCGTGGTACTGTGCCTCCCTCCGCATCTGCTGCCTGTGGGCCCCACGCGAAAGTAACTCTTGCTGCCCCACGCTCCCTGTGTGCCCTGGAGAGAGGGGACGTGCCTCCCGGACTTCCCACGGCAGGTATGGGGAACAGATGCCTGTGAGGGTGGATGGCGGCTGCCTGACGTGGGTCCCTTGCTTCCCAGTGGTGCTGGAGGATTTTGAGGCTGGGGCCGCGGCTCACTAGGCTAATCCTCCGCCTTGCGGCGCCGGCACACCGGGTTCTAGTCCCGGTCGGGGCGCCGGATTCTGTCCCGGTTGCCCCTCTTCCAGGCCAGCTCTCTGCTGTGGCCAGGGAGTGCAGTGGAGGATGGCCCAAGTCCTTGGGCCCTGCACCCCATGGGAGACCAGGAAAAGCACCTGGCTCCTGCCTTCAGATCAGCGTGGTGCGCCGGCCGCAGCGCGCCGGCCATTGGAGGGTGAACCAACGGCAAAAGGAAGACCTTTCTCTCTATCTCTCTCTCTCACTGTCCATTCTGCCGGTCAAAAATTAAAAAAAAAAAAAAAGCACATATAGAATCTGGGAAGGTTGATGTATATCTTACACTGTACAGATATAAGAATTAATATTTGTTTTAATTATATCATTTAAAAATAAATTTTAGATTTCCTGTTGGGTCAAATTATGCACTTTTCAGAAATGTATACATATATACAACTGTAATTTATACATTTTATATTTTCCTCCTTTATCTAGATTTTTAAAAATATTTATTAGGTTCAGCACTGTGGCATAGTAGGTAAAAGCCTCGACCTGCATTGCCAGCATCCCATATGGCCACCAGTTCATATCCTGGCTGTTCTACTTCCAAACCAGCTCCCTGCTAATGTGCCTGGAAATGCAGAAGAAAATGGCCCACGTCCTTGGGCTCCTGCACCCATGTGGGAGACGCAGAATAAGTTCCTGGAATCTGGTTTTAGATTAGCCCAGCTCTGCTCTTGTGGCCAATTGAGAGGGAACAAGTGGATCTTCAAAAATCTTCTTAAAAGATTTATTTATTTATTTGAAGGGCAGAAATATTCCAATAATCAGTTCACTCCCCAGAATGGCCAGGGATGGGCCAGGCTGAAGCCAGGAACTTTCCCTGGGTCTCCCTTATGGGTGTCAGAGGTCCACACAACTGGGCCATCTTTTGCCACTTTCTTACATGAAATAACAGGGAGCTGAACCCTATATGAGCACCGATTCTAGTTCCGGCTGCTCCTCTTCTGATCCAGCTCTCTGCTATGGCCTGGGAAAGCAGTAGAAGATGGTCTAAGTGCTTGGGCCCCTGCGCCTGCGTGGGAGACCTGGAGGTGGCTCCTGGCTCATGGCGTCAGATTGGCACAGCTCCGGCCATTGTGGCCATCTGGGGAGTGAACTAGCAGATGGAGGACTTCTCTCTCAGTCTCTACCTTTCAAATAAATAAAATAAATCTTAAATAAAAAAAAAGTGGAGCAAATGGGACACAAACTGGCACACATGTGGGCTGACAGCAATGCAGGTATCAGCTTAACCCACTGTGCTACAAAGTGAGCCCAATCTAGGTTTTTGTAGTAGCTTTCCTTTATTTAATCTTTCGCCTTTTTTTCCATTCTGGTTTCTGAACTCCATTACAGTGTATGTGATATCCAAAAGTATGAGGCACATAACAGTAATATCCATACTTCACATTAATACAGACAAGTCTACATGAGAGTACAGAAATGTTCCAAATTCAATTCCACATAAAATGTGACTTTACTTCTGCATGATATATTCTATACTTATTTGTAATATGGCTGTTAATTCATGAGAAAATGTGTGTAGCATGTCTACTGACTGAATATGTTGAATTCAGGGAGCAGGACTTCAGTGCATGGAGGAAAACTGACATTCATGTTTTCTTTCTGATTTTATGGAACATATTAAGGAATCAATTTGTTAGTAAGCAAAATATGATCAGACAACATTGACTGGTAACTCAATGCATATTTCCATTAGTGATGAGTAGCTCAAGACTAACCTCAAATCTTAGTCCTTGTGGGGTCCTGAATTAGTCAGTTTCACTCTGTGGTCATCACTCTCTTTATATCACAAGGACTATATTTTTCATTTTTCATTCAGTTCTAATCAAGTATTAGAACTCCTCTTTTTGACTAAGTGCTTGAAATTATAAATGCCAGTCATTACTTAGAAGCGATATTTAAGACCTGGAGAGAGGAAGCGAGTGTAAAGTGCCAATCAACAACAGTTGTGTGTGGCCTTCCCACTTTGTCTGTTCTCAGGGATCCACACAGAATCTTCATCTGCAAGTCCAAAATGAGCAACTCCTGCTGTCAGAGGTACGTGCCTTCCACCGTAGACAGCAGGGTTCTTGAAAATGACAACAGAATCCACTATTTCATGGCACCACTCTAGTTTTTTGATGCCTGCAACTTCATTTTTGTTTAAATTGTATGACACTAGCCGGCGCCGTGGCTCAATAGGCTAATCCTCCACCTTGCGGCGCCGGCACACCGGGTTCTAGTCCCGGTTGGGGCGCCGGATTCTGTCCCGGTTGCCCCTCTTCCAGGCCAGCTCTCTGCTATGGCCAGGGAGTGCAGTGGAGGATGGCCCAGGTGCTTGGGCCCTGCACCCCATGGGAGACCAGGAAAAGCACCTGGCTCCTGGCTCCTGCCATCGGATCAGCGCGGTGCGCCGGCTGCAGCGGCGGCCATTGGAGGGTGAACCAACGGCAAAGGAAGACCTTTCTCTCTCTGTCTCTCTCTCTCACTGTCCACTCTGCCTGTCAAAAATTAAAAAAAAAAAAAAAATTGTATGACACTGAGAACTAAGTATTTGCTTCTGGGTCTGAGGTCAAGTTAATATGGCAGCTCAAGACGGAGGTCCCTCAACTTGCAGAATAAAGTAATTGAAAGGCAACTACCAGATCAGAGATGATATGGGAATTTAAACAGCCCAATTCATGCATTACACATTATTTGCAGAAAGAAATGACCAGTAGCTGTGGGACAGCAGTCAGTGCCCATGACACTGCTACTCAAATCCTAAAGAACTTATTCATAATTTCATGCCCATTCTCCTTTGGACAGGAAAAGAGTGAAACAGCTGAATGACACCCTTTATTTTCTCTTTGCCTCATTTCTGGGAATCCACAAATTGAGTGCAGATGTTAAAAAAATAAATTTTTGCACATATTTACAGCTACTGTAAGAAGTGATGAATAGATCTATTTCAGGAACTTTTGGGTAAGGAATTACCAGATAGTGCAACTTTAAATATTCACAAAGAGTTTAGAAGGCAGACAGCCTGTTTTACAGCCAAATATTTAGTTCTCCATTAAATATATATATATATATAAATAATTTTCTCACTTTGTAATATGATCCATTGATGGCCCATTAATTGTATGATTAGGTAAGCTCAAATATTATTTTAAAGGATTAAAAGTGAGTTATTTAGGAATATTTGGTTCTTCTTCAAATACTTTATGTTAGAAAGAATTGTTGGAGTTTTTTCCTAAATATCTGTAATAAGTATGAGAGTTCTAAGATGACAATTTAATTGAAAGAGTTAAAAAGAATAATAAACTTAATGACAGTTTCCAATAATTCTTTCCACTTTAGAATTTCTCCACTTATAGAATGTTTCTTTCAAATGTAAATTTATCAAATGCAGATTTAATGAGGAATTGCAGTGCTATTTAGGCATCTCACATCGTTACACAACTTTTGCTGTATCCTCTGTGTGTCAGGAGGCTGATTTTATAGCAAATATGTGGATCATACTCATTGCCTCCTAATGGAGGTGTGCATTGTTTGATGGCAAGTGTAGGCTCACCTGCCCATGATGTCAGCAGGGTAGGACCACAGAAAGTCTCTTCTGGCTTCCTTCTCAGCGTGCGCCATTCCAACCACTCCTGCCATTTTCACAGAACTCCTGCCCCTGGGCTGTCCTCATTGCTCATGAACTGTGTGGTTGGTTTCTGTGTCTGAGAACGTCAGTGTGGGGGTCAAAGGAGCCCTGAAGGGCATGGCAGGTGCCTGTCTTGTTGGCATAGGTGACCTTCCTAGATCTGAGGTGTTAGGATCTGTCATGCAGGTGCACCCTGTAGATCTTGGCTGGTCCAGGAGGGACTAGTGTAAGTCCTCAGTTCCAGAGATGGAGAAGCGGTGAGTAAGGCTGGGCTTTCAAGGATTTTTTTTTTTTTGCCAGATGTGATGCTCTCACAGAAGACCAGTGTGTGACTCCAGGTGTACGGAATGGGGTTCTAAAAGTCCTGTGGACAGTCTGCCTCATCCAAGATGACTGTGGGATGCAGATGGGTGTTCAGACCATTTGAGCTGAAATGTGGATGAGGTGAATGTAGGTTGCACCTGTCACTGTTTACCCATCTGTAAGATGAGTGTATTAGCAATGCTAGTGAAATATCACTACAGTGCCTGAGAAATCATGATGTGCGTGCACACTGACTTACACCATGTGGCAGTTGGCATTTGTGGGGATTTGTGATACATCTTCAAGTGAAGTTTGTTTCTTTCTTTCTTTCTTTCTTTCTTTCTTTCTTTCTTTCTTTCTTTCTTTTTTTTTTTTTGCCAGGCAGTTAGATAGTGAGAGAGAGACAGAGAGAGAGTTATAGACACTGAGAGAGAGAGACAGAAAGGTCTTCCTTCCATTGGTTCACCCCCCAAGTGGCTGCTACGGCTGGTGCACTGCTTCAATCCGAAGCCAGGAGCCAGGTGCTTTCTCCCAGTCTCCCATGCGTGTGCAGGGCCTAAGCATTTGGGCCATCCTCCACTGCACTCCCGGGCCACAGCAGAGAGCTGGACTGGAAGAGGGGCAACCGGGACAGAATCTGGTGCCCCAACCAGGACTAGAACCTGGGGTGCCAGCGCCGCAGGTGGAGGATTAGCCTAGTGAGCCACGGTGCTGGCCTCAAGTGAAGTTTCTGGTTTCCTGCACTGTGTAGCCTGCCCAGCACTACTCACTGAAGGTTACAGAAGTTTATGCTTGACCTAGTTTCCAGGAAGTTTGGGTACTGAGTGACAGTCCTATTTCCTTTGTAAGTAAATAGTTTTTATGATATTTGAAAAGGGGAGCTCCATGAATAAGAACCATTACTGACAGAATACCACTTAATGATCTTGGAGATAATGCCTTAAGGCTTCAGAAGAGAGGAAAAAGAGTCAACAGAAATGTAAAGATTCTAGTTTTGGGACTGGCACCGCAGCTCACTAGGCTAATCCTCTGCCTGTGGCACTGGCACCCCGGGTTCTAATCCTGGTCTGGGTGCCGGATTCTGTCCCGGTTGCTCTTCTTCCAGTCCAGCTCTCTGCTGTGGCCCAGGAGTACAGTGGAGGATGGCCCAAGTGCTTGGGCCCTGCACCCACATGGAAGACCAGGAGAAGCACCTGGCTCCTGGCTTCGGATCAGCACAGTGCACCGGCCGCAGTGGCCATTGCGGGGTGAACCAATGGAAAAAAGGAAGACCTTTCTCTCTCTCTCTCTCACTGTCCACTCTGCCTGTCAAAAAAAAAAAAGGTTCTAGTTTTGCATGGTCCAAGTGGTTCTTGATCATACTGACCAGAGTGAACAAGACTTAGTTGATATTACCTTACCTCATCCCGAAGTTATCAAAGAGTTGTGATGTTGGAGTTCTGGAGCAGCTTTCTAGTGAATGGATTGAGAAAGACAGGCAAAGGCCTAACAAATGTTGCTTATTTAAGTGATCTTGAGGGTGTGGCCTGCCTTGATGGATAACCTCTTATGTCTGCAAGTCACTGTCTCCATTGCCTCCTACTACATGTCCATTACTTCATTCTACTATTACGATTTGCAGAATTGAGCTCTGTACAACCTAGGTGTCAAGTTCGCTATCTAGAGCTGTGCTGCTGTTCCCTGAAACACAACAGTTTTTCCTACTAGTTCAAGGTGGGTTTGCCAGGGTCCCTGCATGTAAATAGATGAAACAAATTGTATTTCAGGAGATAAGTGGTTTGAGTAGTGTTGCATGATTTGCAGATGCACAGCACTTAACTTTTGGTTAATATTTTCTTTTTTGCCACACTTAATTATAAAGTTTTCCAGATCAATTTCATAAAATGACATGTTTCAAATAAATATTGCTTTAGAAGAATACTGCAAGCATATCTTTCCTTTTGATCTTAATGCTATGTATGGAATGTGTCACTTCAAAAACATAAAAATTTTCCAACTTACTGTCCGTAATTTCTTCTTGAAAATCTTGCACAATATATAGTACATATGCAGCTACAGGAAATTACTGTGCGCCTTTTCCCATTTCATGAAGCAGTACGATTGTAGTAAAGATGACTTTATTTGCTGTTATGTTTCTTAAAATATAAACAAAAAGAAGACAATGACCACATAGAAGCAGAAATGTGAAGCATAACCTTATGATCTCCAGATAATTTATTTGTGTGAGCCCTGAGAATTTTTTTGGGTCAGCAGCTTTGGTAAGATCCAATTGGTAGGCATAGATCATGTTTAGAGCAGCTTTTTTTCCCCTAAGACATTTATTTATTTATTTGAAAGGGTTATATGTAGAAATCTTCCATCTGCTGGATCACTTCCCAGATGGCTGGAATGGGCAAGGCTGGGACAGGCTGAGGTTAACATCCAGGAACTTCATCGTGGTCTCTCACGTTGGCAGTTATCGGCCCAAGTACTTGGGCCATCCTCCACAGCTTTTCTCAGGCCACTGGCAGGGAGCTGGATCAGAAGTGGAGCAGCCAGAACATGAACAGGTGCCCATATGGGGTGTTTTCATTGCAGATGGCAGCTTTGCTTGCTATGTGACAATGCCAGTCCTGTCTTTTTAGAAACTTCTACATGAGATTGTGAAATCGTATTAATCGTATTTTGCATGTAATTCAACTTTCTTCCCTACTCACCAGTATGTGTCAGCATCTTTTGTAGAACAAATCAGGGGCTGGCGCCGCAGCTCAATAGGCTAATCCTCCACCTAGTGGCGCCGGGACACTGGGTTCTAGTCCCGGTCAGGGCGCCGGATTCTGTCCCGGTTACCCCTCTTCCAGGCCAGCTCTCTGCTGTGGCCAGGGAGTGCAGTGGAGGATGGCCCAGGTGCTTGGGCCCTGCACCCCATGGGAGACCAGGAGAAGCACCTGGCTCCTGCCATCGGATCAGCACGGTGCGCCGGCTGCATCTCACCAGCCGTGGCGGCCATTGGAGGGTGAACCAACGGCAAAGGAAGACCTTTCTCTCTGTCTCTCTCTCTCTCTCTCACTATCCACTCTGCCTGTCAAAAAAAAAAAAAAAAAAAGAACAAATCAGAAAACACAATGGCTTAACAAATAGCCATTTGATTTGTAATTCTGATTCAGTATTTTGTGCTGGGATCAGATGGGCAGTTCCTGTGATCAGTCTGGGGTCAGAAATGAGGGTTTAGTTATTGAATGCAGTGATTGAAGCTGGTGCCTTAGAGAGGGAGATGACTTACTTAAATGCCTGTAACATCATGCTGAGTCTTGGCTAGGTATTATCTGAACAACAGACAGGCCCTAGGGTTTTACCTAAGATATCTATGTCTAATAAGGCAAATCTGAGAAGGTAAATACTTTCCAAGTTATCTGTTTCTATCACATTTACTGATATCTAATGGGATAAAGAAACTGAAATGGTGAAATTCAGGGTCTTGTGAAGGAATGGATACAGGCAATGATTTTATTTGGAATCATTACTGGGAAAGTGTACTACATTATATATACATTATGCATATTTGTTCCAATGCAATTTCAGCCCAAAATATGAAGTTGTACATTGCATGCTTTCTATAGAATTTTAGGTATACACAAAACAAGAAGTTTTCTAGTGTACATAATACTGTATCCCTGTGTGGTACTTCTGCATTAATAGAAAAATAGCAAATTCAAAATAACTTCCTTTAGTGTAAATTTTAATGATAATATAATGTTTATCTCTTTCATAACCTCATTTATTTGGACAACCACTTTAAATTTTTATTTTTTCTACTATTACATTATTTTACAAATATGTAGACATGTGTTCTTTAAACCAATGATAACTTCTGCCATTTAATGGACATACATGAACTTTCCTATATATTTCCATGTCTAAAGGTTTGTTCCTCCACAGCGAAGTTGCTGTTTACTCACTGTATTCATTATGATTTATTGATTCTGTTTTTATTTTTAACAGTTCGGTGTAGAAGAAAGCCAGATAAATTTTCTTATAGCTCCTTCCTTTCATGTTCTCTTCTAGGTATAGTTCTGGAACCTCTACATATTTCCAAGAGCAAAAAAAATATAATACATAATCTATAATTGGTTTTCTTAATTCTTCCTTAGTTATTGTCAGTTTTCATTTTCAGAGATTTATAATAGTTTATTGATTAAAATGAAATAAATAAACATAACTGTCATTCTCAGGGAATATATACAAGTAAGGGGAGTGAAGAATCTGGCATGGTTATGAAACATTACAGTCATCTAAGATAAGACAACTCTGTCTCCAGTCTTCCTGTTGCCATAGCAAAAAGATAGATTTTTTTTAAATGGCTTGAGTTGAAAGCTAGAATAAAATATGCTAGATTTTGGTGGTTGTAATGTCTGAAATAGCTTTTACTATCACACAGATGATGTAGTCAGCAATGATTTAGTGCCACTCTGATATGACACTTAGCATTCTGCAAGGGTAAGAGGCACCTAGTGCTAGAACACCAATCAGTTAAGTTTGTTTTTAAATTGTTAGGGTAATGCAGTCCTTAATAGATTTGAGGAGCTACATTTGTTTCCTGGATAAAATCATGAATGTATTGGGAAAAGAATCTACTGTAGATTCTTTTAATGTTTAAGTTTAATTTATTTATTTGAAAGGCAGAGTTACAAAAATTGAGAGAAGTGGAGACAGAGTGAAAGATACTTTGCATGCACTGCTTCACTCATCCAATGGCCACAATGGCTGGGACTGCACCAGGCCTAAACCTGGAGCCTGAACCTCCATTGAGGTCTCCCACATTGGTGCAAGTGTTCTAAACACTCAGGCCATCTTCGCTGCTTCTCAGGACCTTAGCAGGGAGCTGGATTAGAGCTGGAACAGCCAGGACACCAATCATCTGTTCCCACGGGATACTAGCATTGCCAATGGAGACGTTACCTGCTGCATCACAAGCTTACTGCAGGCTCTTAAACAAATCTCTGTACATTTCCCTGACCTAGTCACATGCGGATTGTTCTGCAGATTTTCCAAAGTTTAGTTTTTGGCAAATAATTAGATTGTTTTCACTTTAATTTGGTGTTATTTCAAGTCTTCAAATGTTTATCTGTAGAATAACCATAGATAAGCCAAAAGCTATTTTCTATTCTTGGCATACTTGAATCTCCTCCTTTATTTAAAAGTATTTATATGCTTGATAGAGAAATTGGAAGGAGAGAGATACAGAGAGATCTCATGCGCTTATTCACTCCCTGAATAACGCCACTGAGTCGAGGTGGATAGGATTGAAGCTGGGAGTCAGGAGTGGATTTGAGGCCTCCCTCAGTGGTGGCAGCATTACTGCTTCTGCAGGTCTGCATTAGCTGTGTGCTGGAAACTGGAGCCGTACTGGAAAACCAGCCTAGGCACTCTGAGGTAGGGTAGCTTAGCTGGCATTGTAAGCACTAAGCTAACTCCTGCCCTCTCTTTATAAATACATTTTTCTGCCATCTTTGATGTGACTGTGTATAGAGTTTGACTGTATATTCTTCATGTTCATTCTATCGTAGGGTCATGGGTGGTTTCTTGTGTTTTTCCCTGAATACTCCTACATTCTTCTCCTTAGCATGGCTCACCCAAGTGTCCGTCTGGGCCCCTATTCAGCCACTTTGCAGTTCCCCTTGACAGATGTGGCCCTTTGTGATCTGATTCACAGTGTGACTCCCTGCTGAATGATTGTGTGTGCCTGTCCAGATGCTCCACAGCTCTCAAATGTAACCACATCCGTCTTTCTTCCTTCACAGCCTCTACAAGGCACACAACTGTCAGTGTTTGTTTTGTGAGAGAGTTGAAATGCTGACCAAAGTGTTGTGTTACAGGAGATGGTGGCATTTGAAGACCTGGTGGTGTATTTCACCCGGGAGGAATGGGAGGCCATGACCCATGCACAGAAGATCCTGTACAGGGAGGTGATGCTGGAGATCTACAGCAGCCTGCTTTCCTTGGGTGAGTGACACCGTCACAAGCCCAATGGGAACACTTCCTTGCTCTTTGACAAACAAGTCAACACTGCATAAAATTTGCTGATGGGCAGATGTAGAATGTGAGTCCATGAATAATATGAATGACCACTATCTAGGAGAGGATTCAACTTGGAACATTTGTTGCATAGCTGTTGAACCAGGCCATAGTCCTTTTAACAATCCAGGATAGTGATTTCACAAAGTCTTACATTGTTTCCATGAACAGGGTTCTGTGTTACCAAACCTGAGTTGATCTTCAAGTTGGAGCAAGGAGGAGAGCCATGGATATTGGAAGAAGACCTAAATCAGAGCCTTCCAGGTAAGTCTCACACAATGGGCAGGGAGTCCACGGCAGGAAGAGTGCAGCAGATGTTGGCTGGTGCTTTTCCACTAATCTTTCACAAGTGTTACTGCTGTCAACAGCCGATTTGTTACATCAGACACAAGCATTGTAGAGTATCTAGGGATAGCAGTGTGTAACTCTTTTGTTCTTGATGAGTATGTTGTTTGATTTAAAAAGGTTCCAGTACTTTTCTTATGTCACTAAGGGTTTTCTTCTAGGTTAGATACATTCACCAAATTTAACTTGTCCTTCTCTACACTTTCCTACATTTTCCTTCTGGGACAACTTATAGAAACTGGTTTTTACTAGTTGCTTAGATGGAGTTCTCACTCATGGTTTTGGCCAGGCACAGAACCTACTCTTCTAAGTAGCTCAAGACTGAACCAATATATGTGAACTGGCTCTTTCCCCTTTTTCTCTATCTCTGTGCCTCTCAGATACATAAGAAAATGATAGGTTGTTGGGAACATTAGAAGAGCGAGCCTGTGACTGGCAACCCTGTTTCAGTCTCTCTTTGTGTCTCACTCTCTGTCTCTCTGACTCTTAAGTAAGTAAGCAAATAAGTAAATGCTAAAAGATGACCAGGAGCAAGCCTCTGTGCTGTGACATCAGAAATCATGAAGTTAAACATGAATGTTTACAGGAACACAACAATAAGTGATGTTAGACTGAGCAAGAAAGTCATGAGATTTTGAGTCCCAAGGCCATGCAACCTCATGTGTTCAGGTTGAGCGGCTCAGATTTGCTTAAGCATGGAGTTTGAAGTATGAACTCTCTCTTATTTATCAATATCATTATGGGAAAAAAAGCCAAAAAGATAACAAAGGCATAGGAAGTGAAATTTTCTGTGATGATAGTTGACAACTGAATAAAATTGTCCATAAAGTCAAAATATCACAAAGGAACATTTATAGAACGAATTGAGGAGGCAACCAGGCTGTTGATTTCAGAATGAGCTAGCAAACACCTTTTAAAGAATGAATACCCCCTGGGTCGCAAAAACAAATTCTTTAATGTGATAATGTGATAGGGAGTGTATATCCCAGGTGGTACATTGGGACATTTCTGTACCTATTGTAGTTCTGAGAAGCTGAAGATGTCATGTTTCCTTAGGAAGATGTGGATGCTGTCATAGATTGCAGAAAAAGTAGACTTCATTTGAAAAATCTCACAAATGCAGTTTTCCTGGGAAGAGTAAACATGTGACAACCATCTATTCAAAAATTGTTTCTTCAATGTGGTCCTGCTTGCAGGAAAGACACATTTCATTCTTTTCCACCCACAAGTACATGATGCAGAAATAGTTTTGCCCTTCTTTATGGCTGATATGTCAGAGTAGCACCAAAACACACCATTTTAATAAAAATAAGTTCAAGAGAAAGCACAGGGAAAAATTAATTGCTAGGCAATGTCTGAATATTTTTACTAAATATTTCTCCATTCTTTAAAATTTCATAGAATTGTTTCATCATTGTTAAAGGCAGAGTGACAGTGAGAATAGAAAGAGAAAGAGATCTTCTATTAGCTCACTCCCCAAATGCCTACAAGAGTTAGGCCAGACTAGCCTATATCCTAAAGCCTAGAATTCCACCCATGCCTCTCTAGTGTCTCACAGGGTTCCAAGCATATGTACCATCACCTACTGTCTCCTAGTTTGCATAAGCAGAGAGCTGTATTGGAAATGTAGTAGATAAGGCTCAAACTAGTACTATTTGGAGATGCAGGCATCCCAAGCAGTGACTTAATACATCTTACTACCTTAACCCATTCTGCCACACTTGAAAACTAAGTAGTAAAACAATATCATTATTGAACATTGGAAAATCTATTGTTATAAATTCATATATTATTGTATTAAGAAGAAAAAACATGTAGTGGTCATAAATAAGTATCTTGTATAGATTATGTTAAAATCTTATGCCACTTGGATAATGAGTAAATTCCTTCCTTTTGGATGATTATGCCAAGAGAAACTGTTATATGCTTCACTGACATGGTTATGTTTTCTTATTTTAGTTACCATGAGAAGGGATTGTCTAATTATGAACAACCAGGAAAACAAAGGCAAAAATTGAAATCAGGATGTTATAAAATACAACAGGATATCAACTCCCAAAAGTGTTGAATTAAGAAAAGCACTTAATTCAAGTTCAAGCCATATGACAAAACTGAAGGGAAACTATTCAGGAATGAAACCTGTGGAATGCAATATATTTAAAAATGTGCATCTGCCCAGTGGAGCTGATGAACTTGAAGCTGGAGGGAAATTTGATGCCATTAAAGTACCTGGGATCTCTCTCCAGTGCTGGGACCATCTTAGTCCGCATCACAAGATTCCGTCTGTGACGCAGACATTGGAACATAATGAAGAGAAAGCCTTCAATAGTATGGAGAAATTTTGTACATCTGAGAGGGTTCATATGCTAGAGACCTGTAATAAATCGTCTGTCACTGTTGGAAAGGCAACTCAAATAGAAAAAAATTCCATAAAAATTCTAACCTCAGTAAGCACCAACACACCCACAAAAGAGAAAAACTTTGTGAGCATATTAGGTCTGTAGCATCTGTCACTTACCAATCACATCTTGCAATAAATCAGAGACAACAAATAGGGACAAAATCCTATGCTTGTAAACTTTATGTAAAATCATTAAGTTGTAAATCCTGCCATTCCATCCATCACAGTGCTCACATACAAGAAAACTTGCGTGTGAGTAATGAATGTGTCAAAACCACTTACCAGAAGTCAGATCTCATTAGACATCAGAAAATTCACAGGCAGAATAAACCTAATAAATGTAATGAGTGTGGAAAAGCCTTTCTCCAAAAATCAGACCTTGTAAGACATCAGAGAATTCACAGAAGAGAGAAACTGCATGAATGTAATGACTGTGGAAAAACCTTTGGCTATAAGTCACGCCTAATGGCACATCAGAGAATTCACACAGGAGAGAAACCTCATGAATGTACTGACTGTGGAAAAGCTTTTTCCCGGAAATCACACCTCATAGCACATCAGAGAATTCACACAGGAGAGAAACCTTATAAATGTAATGACTGGAAAAGCCTTTAGCTGTAAGTCATACCTCATCACACATCAGAGAATTCACACAGGAGAGAAACCTTATGAATGTAAAGACTGTGGAAAAGCCTTTTCCCAGAGATCATACCTCATAACACATAAGAGAGTTCACACAGGCCGGTGAATAGGCTAATCCTCCACCTAGCAGTGCCAGCACACCGGGTTCTAGTCCTGATTGGGGTGCCGGATTCTGTCCCGGTTGCTCCTCTTCCAGGCCAGCTCTCTGCTGTGGCCTGGGAAGGCAGTGGAGGATGGCCCAAGTGCTTGGGCCCTGCACCCCATGGGAGACCAGGAGAAGCACCTGGCTCCTGCCTTCAGATCAGCGTGGTGTGCTGGCCGCAGTGTGCCAGCCGTGGTGGCCATTGGAGGGTGAACCAATGGCAAAAGGAAGACCTTTCTCTCTGTCTCTCTCTCTCACTATCCACTCTGCCTGTCAAAAAAAGAGAGAGAGAGAGAGTTCACACAAGAGAGAGACTCCATGAATGTAATGACTGTGGAAAAGTGGCCATAAGTCACACCTCATAGCACACCAGAGAATTCACACAGGAGAGAAACCTCATGAATGTACTGACTGTGGAAAAGCTTTTTCCCAGAAATCACACCTCATAAGACATAAGAGAGTTCACACTGGAGAGAAACCTCATGAATGTAATGACTGTGGAAAAGCCTTTGCCCAGAAATCACACCTCATCATACATCAGAGAATTCACACAAGGGAGAAACCTCCTGAATGCAATGAGTGTGGCAAAGCATTTGGCCATAAATAACACCTTATAACACATCAGAGAATTCATACAGGGGAGAAACTTCATACATGTAACGACTGTGGAAAAGCCTTTTGCTATAAATCATAGCACATCAGAGAATTCACATGGGAGGAATCCCATAAATGTAATCACCTGGAAAAGCCTTTTGTATAAGTCAGACCTCAGCAGACATGAGAGAATTCCCACAGTGGAGAAACCTCATGAATGTACTAACTGTGGAAAAGCCTTTTTCTTTTTTTTTTTTCTTTTATCTTTTATTTAATGAATATAAATTTCCAAAGTACGACTCATGGGTTACAATGGCTTCCCCCCCCATACCGTCCCTCCCACCCACAACCCTCCCCTTTCCCACTCCCTCTCCCCTTCCATTCACATCAAGATTCATTTTCGATTATCTTAATATACAGAAGATCAGCTTAGTATACCTTAAGTAAGGATTTCAACAGTTTGCTCCCACACAGAAACATAAAGTGAAAAATAATAGATGATTTTTTTTTAAATGATGATATCAGATCAGACCTCTTGTCATGTTTAATCCCAGTGAGAGTCAAGTTGGGAATTGATAATTTCTTTTTTTTTTTTTTTTACAGAAGATCAGTTTAGTGTACATTAAGTAAAGATTTCAATCGTTTGCACCCCCATAGAAACACAAAGTGAAATATACTGTTTGAGTACTCGTTATAGCATTAAGCCTCAGTGTACAGCACATTAAGGACAGAGATCCTACATGAGGAGTAAGTGCACAGTGACTCCTGTTGTTGACTTTACAAATTGACACTCCTGTTTATGGCATCAGTAATCTCCCTATGCACCAGTCATGAGTTTCCAAGGCTATGGAAGCCCCTTGAGTTCTCCGACTCTTATCTTGTTTAGACACGGTCATAGTCAAAGTGGAGGTTCTCTCCTCCCTTCAGAGAAAGGCACCTCCCTCTTTGAAGACCTGTTCTTTCCACTGGGATCTCACTCACAGAGATCTTTTTGCCAGAGTGTCTTGGCTTTCCATGCCTGAAATACTCTCATGGGCTGGAAAAGCCTTTTTCTCTAAATCAACTCGGAATTCATTAGAAAATTCACATGGGGGATAAACTTCATGAATGTAATACTGTGGAAAAGCCTTTTTCTCTAAATCAACTCGGAATTCATTAGAAAATTCACATGGGGGATAAACTTCATGGATGTAATGACTGTGGAAAAGCCTTTTTCTCTAAATCAACTCGGAATTCATTAGAAAATTCACATGGGGGATAAACTTCATGGATGTAATACTGTGGAAAAGCCTTTTGTCATAATTCATACCTCATAGCACACCAGAGAGTAATGCTGTCCTGCAGCTGCGAGCTTTCAGAAATAAAGACTCTATAATTTGGCATCTTCTGTAACTCACTGTTGTTCCAAATATAACACTTGAAGGCCTCAGGAAGTTTGTGTATATCAGCACTCTGTTCAGATACTGACCAGCCAGCAGCCTCTCTGCCCTGGGTACTCTGAGAGTTCTCTAAGGAGGCACCACCTGAGACATTCCAGGGCTGTGAGACAACCTTGGGAAGCTCTGACAGCCAGAAGGCAGAGTCTGCTGACCTCTCTTCATTTTCAGGAGTCAGTCAAAGACCCCTGAGGTGAGTCTCACTTATCTGTTTTACGGGGAACCGGTTCTTCTTGTAGAGAATGGAGGACTGGACATGATCAAAATTTCCCTCCATGAGCCACCTACAACGGAAGTGAGAGCCTCCTGTTTCAGTTCTGCCATACTGGCCCTCTTGTTTGTCTTGTCATTTTTGACATTTTTTTTTTTTGCCCTTCTAGAAGATATTTCCTGATTCTTTCCAGCCTCTGTCATTTGATCATCTCTGTGACTGAATTACTGACCGTTATGACCAGGGAACTCTTCCGGACTTCATTCCCACTGGAATCTCTCTTTGTATTCTTTTCCTGGTATTGCTTCTGTCTAATGATTTGGATTCTGGTCATTTTAACTCCCTTTGGTCTCCTCAAACTTGTCACATTTACAGTCTTCTGTGAGTGCTGCCGGGCTCCCAACTGATCCCCAGGAGACTTGTCTTGTCCCTGTCAGCTGGCCAACCTAGTCTAAGTCTCTCTATTTTCCTAGTTCTCAATGTCTTGCTTGTCATTTTTCTCATCACTACAATCCCTCTGTTCACACTTTTCAAGGGAGCACCCAGTAAGGAAGACCCCTCTAGGGTATATGTAACAGCATTCCAAAGAAGATTTAGTAGATGGGTATGATTATGGCATTAAGCTAATCTGAGGAGGCCGGCACTGTGGCACAGTGAGTAAACTGCTGCCAGCGGTTCTGGCACCCATACGGGCACCAGTTTGAGTACTAGCTTTTCCACTTCTGATCCTGCTCTTGCTGTGGCCTGGGAAAGCAGTAGAAGATGGCCCAAGTCCTTGGGGCCTTGCACCCATATGGTAAACCCGGAGGAAACTCCTGGATCCTCCAGCTCTCTGCTGTGGCCTGGGAAAGCAATGGCAGATGGTCAAAGTCCTTGGGCCCCTGCACCCACGTGGGAGACCCAGAAGAAGCTTCTGGCTCCTGGCTTCAGATCATCTCAGCCCTGGCCATTGCGGCCATCTGGGGAGTGAACCAGTGGATGGAAGACCTCCCTCTCTCTCTGTCTCTCCTCTCTCTGTAACTCTGTCTTTCAAATAAATAAAATAAATCTTTAAAAATGAGTAAAAGAGGCCGGTGCCGCAGCTCAATAGGTTAATCCTCCACCTTGTGGTGCCGGCACACCAGGTTCTAGTCCCAGTCGGGGCGCCAGATTCTGTCCCGGTTGCCCCTCTTCCAGGCCAGCTCTCTGCTGTGGCCCGGGAAGGCAGTGGAGGATGGCCCAAGTGCTTGGACCCTGCACCCCATGGGAGACCAGGAGAAGCACCTGGCTCCTGCCTTCGGATCAGCGCAGTGCGCCGGCCGCAGCCTGCCAGCCGTGGCGGCCATTGGAGGGTGAACCAATGGCAAAAGGAAGACCTTTCTCTCTGTCTCGCTCTCTCACTGTCCACTCTGCCTGTCAAAAAAAGAGTAAAAGAAAATATTTGCAGGAAAAAAATTTTAAAAGGAAAGAAAGAAACTCCTGGATCCTGGCTTAGGATCAGTGCAGTTCTTGCCATTCCAACTATCTGGGGAGTGAACCAATGGATGGAAAACTAACTCTCTCTCTCTCTCTCTCTCTCTCTCTACCCCTCCTTCTCTGTGCAACTCTGACTTCCAGGTAAAGAAACAAATCTCTTTAAAAAAAAAAAAAAAAAAGCTAACCTGAGGTGATGTGAGGACCTTCTGTGAACTTGAGTGGCCCATTTTGGGGTGGATTGACCAGACACCAGATCTTTTGATCCTCACCTGGCCCAAGCCATTTGGGATATTGTGATGGAATCCCAGCAACCCTGAACAATTCCCGTATATTAACCAATGGATGGCCCTGGTCTAGAATCCAACCCCTTGGTTAAATACTGTTTTCCTAAGAACTGGAGTACACATTCTTGTTGCTTGACACAAATCTGCCACTAAAAGAGACCCACCAATGAAACCCCCAGTCCTTCCACCAAGCCTAGATCAGATGATCCTCTACCCTCATGTAGCCCCAGTGTGGCATGGGAGGGGGAGCCAAGGGATGGGGGCAAAAGAAACAGTGGCCCATAGCTTCAATGCCTCACCCGAAGTCATGTCCAGGCAAGGGGAAGACAAGAAACCACCGTGGTGACAACATTACCTCTTGGAGGAAGTTTTCCTGGCAGACAGAAACCACGGGGGCACCTGCTGTGTTTGTCCCATCCTCCACAGGCAATCTCTGTAATTGGAAAACACAAAGTCCTCCTTTCTCTGAAAAGCCAGTGGCTTATTCAGTCTCCCAGAGCCAGTCTTTAATGCCCACCATCCAGCCTGGGCTGATTGTCAACAATTTATGATCACTCTCTTCACATAAGGGAGGAGACAGAATCCAGCTAGAATTGAAGTCAAGCAGTATTAGGATCAGGAAGGATCACTCGAGGAAAATGGAGACCATACTGAAGAAATGTTTTAAGTCATCTAGGTGTAATTACTGAATGTAAATTGGGTAAAGGCAAATGAGATAAATATGTATAAATTGGTGCTCTTAGCACCTTATATTCTGTGGAAAAATAATTTGGGGTTGTTAACATATGTTTTCACAAACTGTCTATGAAAAATATCTCAACACTGCTGGAAAGAAACCAAGGCTGTGGCTTCTCTGTGGCACAGTGAGTTAAAGCCCTGGCCTGAAGCACTGGCATCCCATATGGGCACCAGTTCTACTCCCAGCTGCTCCTCTTCTGATCCAGCTCTCTGCTATGGCCTAGAATAGCAGAAGATGGCCCAATTCCTTGGGCTCCTGCACCCATTTGGGAGACCTGGAAGAAGCTTCTGACTCCTGGCTTCAGATTGGCACAGCTCTGGCTGTTGCAGCCATCTGGGGAGTGAATCAGTGGATGGAAGACCCCACCACCACCTCTCTCTGTAACTCTTTCAATAAAATAAAATATTTTTTATTTATTTTTTATTTAGTAAATATAAATGGTTAAAGTACAGTTTATGGATTACAGCAGCTTCCCCCCACCATAATTTCCCTCCCACTCACACCCCTCCCATCTCCCGCTCCCTCTCCCATTCCATTCACATCAAGATTCATTTTCAACTATCTTTATATACAGAAGATCAATTCAGTATATATTAAGTAAAGATTTCATCAGTTTGCACCCACACAGAAACACAAAGTGT